AAATTCATCTTTCTTCCAGATCTGTCATTTCTTCTCTCATTATTTAAACTTTATCTTTTAGTTTCTTTTTATTTCAATTTCATTTTGACATTTTTCTTATTTGTCATTCCTGCCCTTTGTTTTCAGTAATGCTAATTCTCATCTTTACAGCTTTCAATGTGCCATTTATGTTGTAATGGTTACATTTCTCTCTTTCACTAGTTTCTTTTCTGAGCTTTGATTTGGTCAGGCGCTTAGTGGGAAACAGAATTCTGGATAATGATGATAAAGTATTTTGGGTAACAATTTCATGAAAGGAACTTCAGAGTGAGCCTTAAGTGAGAAAACTTATTTTCCAAGTAAATATTCACAAAAGACCCTAGCAGCAGGGAAAGATACAAGAAATCAGGTGAAAAAAAAAAATGCCTAATGCATAACATTCCCTTTTCATTAGCAGCCACAAGGCTTGCTCAAGAAGCTCATGGGGACAGGGATCGAGATTATACAAAGGCTCAACAGCATGGACTTCTCTTCAAAGATGACTTGACTACTGCCAAGCCTGGGTGCCCAATTTTGCAGTGGTGTGACCAATTCTGAACCCTGTTATTATACTAAATACGGGGGAACCAACCAACCTACCAGTAGTAGGCTGAATACATTGGAATCTTTCTAATTTGTCTTATCTGTGACAGACATAGAACCTAGATTTAGAATTGTCTTCTCTACCAGCCATATTTCTATGACAATATAATCCTGGACTGAGTAAATACCCTATGCAACAACATTGTCTCAGACCAAAAAACTGATTTTACAGTAAAAGAATTAACGCCATGTGCTTATACTCATGGAATTTAGAGGTCCTATGATGATCACCCATGATCCAGAAATATTTTTGATGCAAGAGTAATTGCAGTTTTTGCCATTATTCTTAAATGACCAAAACAGCAATTACTTTTGCACCAGCCTAATAGTTGGTCTTACAGAAAATAAAATAATATTTTAATAACTGAATGTACCAGTAGGAGAAAAAACCAGTGCCGCATCCTTAATAGCCAGCATTCATGAATTCAGAAGTGAGGGGTGGAAGAGGGAATGCCACTTTACACCATTTTATCTAATAGCATATTCATGATATTGTGCTTTCCTTACTCTGTCTCCAGTTTCTGCTGGTTCAGAGGTCTTAGTAGCCATTGTAGAAATGCTCCCTCCACGGGGTTCAATAATAGTTCCATTGAAATTTCAAGCTTCTGGGGGCATTGTGTGAGCAGGGGTAAAAATGGTCTTTGTAGGGTTATTAATTCTGGTTTTCAAGAAACAGGGGGGTTTGTTGATATATACTAGGTGTGAGAATAGGGGAAGATAATTTTTTTCCTAAAACTCAGGAGGGTATCTTGGTATGTTTCCTGCTTTTGCCATGCACAATGGCAAAACTAAAGTGGAAAACTAAAGTGACTTCATGTACGTAAAGCCAGGAAGAATTATAATCGTTCAAGGATGAAATTTAGGCCATCCACCTGGAGAAGAGTAGAGAGCATCTAGTGTTGACAGAGCAAAATGAACATAGAAATGTAGTGGATAAAATAATAAATACCATTCAAGGCTGCTTGCACTAGAGCAGAAATTAAAGCAGTACTGATCCATAACTTCTTATTGATTTTGTAATTAATACTTAAATGATTCCCTTATTTTCTTCTATTGTTTATAGAATGTATTTATATTAGGTGACTATAAAATTTAGCACATAGATTATATTATTCTACCAATTTAGTCAATAGGATTGTGGTAGAACTGAAGGAGAAAGGATATCACTTAAGATACAAGTCTTAGAAGAGGAAAATGCAACTAAGTGTTTGGTTTGTCTCATTTATGATGAATCGCTATTTTATGTTTGTTGGGGCAGAGTGGTAGTATTATTTTAATTGAAATACAGATGAAGGGTGCACATTGTCCTTGTGGTTGGGTGATTATGGAATCACATGGGTGAGTGTCTATCACATTTGTTAGAAAAGTCAGTCTCCTGCATGCGGTCTTTTGACCTCCACTCAGCTGCATAAGAATGGGCCTTGGGCCTGGGACACTTCCTTACCAAGAGATAAAGCATCCTCACAGCCTGTGCTGGACTTTTCATCTTACAAGGAAAAACCATTCCTATTTCAGGCTCAGTGTGTATTTTTTGTTCCACTTAAGTATCTGCATCATATAGCTCCTGGCCAATCCCACTGCTTTATGAGTTCTCTGTGAAGAGGAGACAGGATCCTTCTGTTGCAACTCAAGATGGATGTATGCAGCTCAATTGCCCTGTTTTGGTAGCTGGAAGGGACCTACTGGCCATGGGGGACCAATGCCTCCCATTGAAGTCAATCTTGCTCTGTCTCTTCCATATGTGAGTAAAGCGTTGTTCCATCCAGTGCTTCACTGTGTTGTTTTACTTAGTGTTTTTCTTGGTATTTACTGATACCAAGATGTAGTGGGCAGATGTGATTGGACTTCTGCTTCCCATAATAGGCAACAGATGCAGTCTTCCTTTGTAACATTTGTGTGTGTCAGAATACTTGGTACACTACTTCTACATTTTAGTTATTTCCTGCAACGCAAGCCTCATCTTCTCAAGGTCGACACCTGAACACTCACTTTGGCAGTTGCCTTGTGGCTGGGGTCATAATGTGCACTCTAGGCTCTGTCCAACAGATGCCTCTTCTTGGGGTTCATTTCTGGAAAGGGTGGTGTGAGGAGGGAAGTAATGTTTTATCATTGGGGCACCTGGAGATTGGCAGAGAGTTATAGAGTCTTTAGAGGCAGTTCTAGCTGAGATCCTGTGGACACACACTTTGCTCAATATTTTGGCTTCAGGATTTAGTGCTCAATGTTCATGCTGGGTACTTTGTAACAGCAGCAGTGGTAGAATCAAGTCTGGGAGTCAACCAGTGGTGCAGCTTTTATCCTGTTTTGTCTCTGTATTCTCAGAGCTGAAATCTCAGACTCTGAGACTATGGGGATTTTAAGAGCAATTGTACATGCTGTAATAAGCTCCTTTTGGCTTCAGCTTGCAAGAGTGGGTTCTGTCGTTTGCAACCAAGAATACTGACTGCTTCACCAAGAAATACCAGGTTTTAACAAGTTCCCCCGGTGATTCTTATATATAGTCTGTACAAAATAGGCATAGGGGAATATCTTTGGGGATTCACTAATTTTGGGAAAAGAGAAAGACACAGAGACATAAAGTTACAGACCTAGTCAGTGGCAGGTTTTAGGATTTTGGCTCCAAAGTCTGTCTTGGACTACTAGACCATATTGCTATAGAGTTGAGGTAAGAGATCATTTTAGAGAAACCTAGTGAAAGGCACAATAGGGTTGTAGTATATTGATACAGTTTGAATGTATGTGTTCCCCAAATTTACATCTTAACTCATAGGTGATGGTATTAGGAGGTAGGGCCATTTTGGAAGTGATTAGGTCATGAGGATGAAGCCCTCATAAAGGGGATTATCATCCTTAAAAAAAAAAGTCCCAGAGATCTGCCTTGCCCTCTCTGTCATGTAAAGACACAGCAAGAAAGTGCTATATATGAGAAAGTGGCCTTTGCCACACTGAGTCTTCTGGCACCTTGATCTTACACTTCCCAGCCTCCAGAACTGTGAGAAATAAATTTCTATTGTTTGTAATCTACCTGGTTTGTGGTATTTGTCAGAGCAGTGTAAATAGATTAAGGTCAATACATTAATAAGCATTCAGCTTACTTACATTCAGCTTGAAGATGACTCTATGTCACAGAGCAAGGAGAGGAGACCAAGAGACATTAATGTTCCAGGGAAGACAGAACTTTGAATTGATGAAGAAGATGGGTATGAAAATAGAGTTTGTATAAGGAGCCAATAGGTGAACATGTGGTATCCATCTATGTAATAACTAATTTAACCTTGCCCCAAAATAGGCCCGACCTCTGCCTTAGAGATTACAAGGTAATTTCTACTCATTGCAACAGCATGCCTAATAGATGTGTCTGTTTGTCCGGGGGCTTTGCATCGCACTGGATTGTCTAGCAATGTGATTTAGGGTGAGGCCTTAGGCCAAACCAGATGCTAACAATGTCACTTAGGGTGGGGACTTTTGGAACACACAATCTCAGCCAACCTGGAGATAGAGATCAACTATGTAGGCAATCAATCATGCCTAAGCAATGAAACCCCAGTAAATGCCCTGGACACCGTGGCTCAGGTGTGTATCAGGTGTGGCTTAGGTCAACAATACTCCATGCTGTTATCCCACATTATGGCTAGGAAGAATTAACACTGTCCTGACTCCACATTCAGGAATGGAAACTCCACATTTGGATGCCTCCTGGATTCTGCTCTATGTGTCTCTCCCTTGGCTGATTTTAATCTGCATTCTTTCACTGTGAAACTGTATGTAACCATGAGTATAATGGCTTGCAGTGAATTCTGTGAGTTCTTTTAGCAAATTATCACATCTGAGGGTAGTTTTGGGAACCACCGTGCTCAAGTTACAATTGGTGTCAGAAGTGAGAGTGGTCTTATGTTGGCTGTGTGCTCTCAAAACTGGTCTGAACTCACAGACAAGTATAATAGTGAGGAAAAGGAGCTAGCATCTATGTGTGGCTGTGTGCTCTTGGATCAGTGCTTAGCTCTATGTTTAAATGGTCTCACTTAATCATCCTGACTAACCTGACCTTCATTCTTCAAATGAAAGAACCATGGCTCAGAAAGGTTTTGTGACTTGCCTAAAGATAAAGATTCAGGGAATATATTAAGATCTCCAAGTTTTTTGATAGTAAAACTAAAACTTCATCCTAGAATCAAGAGTGAATTAGGTCACATTGTGGTGAAAGATCAGGCTCTAACAAGTGTAATACGTAACAAAGTGAATCTGGACTTGGTTTTTCCTCAAGTGTGTACTTTAGCCCTAATTTATCTAAAACTCTACCTTCAATTTGTGGAACTCAGTAAATATGTATTGGAAAACTACTAAGTTTTAACCACTATACATTTATTGCATTTATACAGGGAACAAAGAGGTATCATACCCGTCCTAATGCCATACTGAAGACACTTTAAACAGGAACCAAAGGGAAATATAACACAGGTATAAAATTGTAATATTGATCATTGCTCTAAGGGAAAACTTCAAGCTGCTAGGATTTTATATAGGGAGGTCAGAAAAACATTCGTGAATGAGGGGTATTTAAGCTGAGAATTACAGAGTTAATCGATGCTAGTCAGGAGAGGGGAAAGGGTACGAATACTCTAGGCAGAAAGAAGAAAAACACAAGTGCAAGGATCTTGGCATGTTTCAGAAACCAAAGGCAATGTGATTAAACCATGAAGACAGGGAGACAGCAGGGCAAGGCCAGGTCATTGCAAGCTATGATCAAGACTGTGGAATTCATAGATAGGCTAGTATCTGGATTTTAGTTGTGATGGAAAACCAGGGTTCAACCAAAGAAGGTGAGTGAATGGGCAAAAAATAAAATAAAGGGTCAAGTGTATCCATGGGAGGTCTTGGGTAGCATTGAAGATCAATCTTAGATGACTCAGGAGAAAAGTGTAATATTATATCTCAGGGATTCTCACTGTTTTATTTTCTACAATCTTCCTGGAAATTTTGGTGCATATTATTTATGTAGCCTAATAAAAATACTCTTTGTAATGACTCTGGCAGAAGATTTCCTAAAGGGGTCATATGAAAAAAACAAACAAAAACAATACATGCACTTCTTCAGTGTATCTCTCATACCAGTAGGTTAGAATGTCTTGCAAACAAAATTAAATTAAAATTGCAGACCATTCCTGCAGAATATAAGCGATCATTTTCAATGGGAGAAAACAAGAGAAGCCATTCTAACAAATTATTTAAAGTTCAGCTTGTTATAATTTCAACAGCTCTTAATGTGTTTACTATATACATATATTTAGTATGTCTGAAAGGCGCTGAAGTCTGAGGAATACAGCACTTGTGCTGAGGGTTGTAGACTTTCTGTTTAAAGACTCAATTGTTGGAAACCCAATTTTCTTTTAGATTCGTTCTGTTTGTTTTGTTCAGTTCTAGTAACTCAGCCTGAGTCTGATAAATAATTTAAGAATCCTGACTCAAACCACTAGAACACATCTTTCTAAGTCATCAACATTTTATCTTTTCAAAGAGACCAAAACAACCCCAGCTCCCTGTCCTCATTCTAAACTAATCTCCAAGAACTTTCAGTTTAAGATGGCTGATAGAGTACACGATGTTATACCTCCTCATGACTTAAAGCCCAGTGAAGTGACAGAGAAAGAGAAAAATAAAAGCACAGATTCACAGAGGCATTAGGAATATAGGAAGCTGTCCATCAACAGACCATGACATTTAAGAACCTCTGCTATGGATGCTACAAATTCCTGTAATTGAGAACATAATTTATTTATTTATTTTTAAAAAGAACATGTCAATATGGAAACAATAAGAGAGGGGCTTCAAAAAGGGGAGTTTCCCTAAGATCAGAGTCAGCAGGGGTAGGCTGTAGGAGTGAGCTGTGTGGAAATCATCAGTGCTATCAATTGAAATCAAAGGGCTCTGACATAGCATATCCTGACCAGTCTGTGTCATAAGAGCTGACTGTGGAATTTGCCATCCCATATAGAGCTTTCTTGCTGCAACAAAAGAAAGAGGCAGAGCAGTTCCAGATAACAACAAAGGACAAGAAACACCTTCTCTCTGAGGACAAAGACCTCCCTCATGCACAAAAAAGAACAGTTCTTGTGGCTACATGTCTACCTACCTTTTCACTGTAGCCATAGCATCACTTCTGTAATCAGAGTCCCAATTTCCTGTGGGAGACAGTGAATTCCCTGCCGCCTTTAGACCTCTGGTAAGCAAAATTGTATCCATTAAAATCATTCCATTGTTGATCCATGCATGACTTCCTTTAGTTATTTTTAATAATGTTGTAGCCATCCGTGAATCTATCAACTTTTCTCATCCCTCTGCCAACCCTTGCCTGAGAAGGTGATCATCTTGAATTTCGTATTCATCCTTCTCCTGCTTTCCTTTTTACACATTTATTTTATATGTAGGAACTGCTAAAATTATATTTTACATATGTTATTTGTACTTATATTTAATTTTATAAAAATGAGTATCATACTGCATATAATCCTTCCAGAATTACTTTTTACTTAATATTATACTGCTAAATTTCATCCCTCTTTTGCATGTCCCCATAGTTACTCATCTTCATTGCTTGTGATGTTTTATGGTGTGCATATACCATATTTTAGCCACCCACTGTCCTGCTGGTAAGCATTTGGGCTGTTCCCAAATTTTGAATAATGTGAACAGTACTGCTATAAATATTCCAGGTCATGTCTCCTGTGTTCACATGCAAGAGTTTCTCTTGGGTATCTTCTGAGCCATAGAATTGCCAGGCCAAAACATGGGGACTCTAAAGGGGAATATCAAACCATTTTCCAAAGTAATTCATCGAATTTATACTCCCTCCAGCAATATAAAAGACATTCAGTCAATGCACTTCTCTCCAATCCTTCATATTGTCAGATTTTTATTTTTTGTCAATTAAATAATATAAACTGTTCATGGTCATTATTGGCATTTCTCTTATCACTAATTATGTTGACTATTTCATCGCAGGTTTGCTTCTCTGTAAGATGGCTATTCTCACTCTCCATACCACTCCTTCTTTTTTTACTGGTTTGCTGGTATTTTTCCAGTTAATTTTTATGAGTTTTTAAAATGTGTTCTTGGTATTAGTCTTTTCATTTTATGTAATACAGGTATCCTTTCCCAGTTTGAAACTATTTTTTTCCATATTCTTTAAGAACTCTTTTGATGAATAAAAAAATCCTGATTTAAATATTACCAAATTTATTGATGTTTTTATTCCTTTCCACTTCTATCTTACTTAAGAATTTTTTTCCTACCTCAATTTCTAAACTGTATGCATCTACATTTTTTTTTTTTTTTTTTTTTTTGAGACGGAGTCTCGCTTTGTGGCCCAGGCTGGAGTGCAGTGGCTGGATCTCAGCTCACTACAAGCTCCACCTCCTGGGTTTATGCCATTCTCCTGCCTCAGCCTCCCAAGTAGCTGGGACTACAGGTGCCCGCCACCTCGCCCGGCTAGTTTTTTTTTTTTTTGTATTTTTTTAGTAAAGACGGGGTTTCACCGTGTTAGCCAGGAAGGTCTCGATCTCCTGACCTCGTGATCCACCTATCTCGGCCTCCCAAAGTGCTGGGATTATAGGCTTGAGCCACTGTGCCCGGCCTGCATCTACATTTTCTACTAAGAGCTTTATATCCTTTAACATCCATCTGGAATTGACTTTTATTAAATCTTATGAGATTAGAAAATAAATTAATTTTTTATGTGATTTTCTTTTTACCACATCTTTTTATCAAAAGTCTCCCTTTTATATTCTTGTCTGACATGACCCCTCTATCATATCCCAATGTGGCATAAATGTGTGGGTCTGCTTCTGATTCCAAGGTGAATTTGTCTCTGTTATACCAACACCATGCTATCTTTATTACTGTAGCTTCCTGCTATTGATACCTGGCAAGGCAAGTTCCTCCTTGCTGCTCTTATTAAAAGTATCCTGGCTATTATTTTTGGCCCATTACTCCACTAAATACATATTAGAAGTATCAAGTTAAAAAAAAAATACCCTTGTTACAATTTGAGGGGGATTACATTGAACCTAGGGATGAATTTTGAGAGAATTAACCTCTCTCTGTGATATTCCTGTCTTAACTTGGTATGTTGTGTTTTTTTCTCCCTCTCATTTATGTCGTCTTTGCTATGTCTAATAAATCTGTATTTTTTTCTATAAAGGTTTTAATTTTTTGTTTTATTTCTTAATATGGGATTTTCCCTGATATTACTAAAAAATGTGTCTTCTTTTCAATTGCCTTTTCAGGTTTATGTCTGCTGTCCAGAAATGCAACTGTTTTATATACCAATGTAGACATTTTGCTAAACTCTTCAATTATTTCTAAAATAATTTCCCTGTATTATTTTAGGTATTCTATGTAAACAGTCATATCATCTTCAAATGATGACAGTTTTACTTTTTTCCATTCAAAAATTTATAATTTTATTATTTTTCTTCTCTTAATTCTTATACTGGCTAGTATTTCTACTAAAATATTAACTAGAAGTGGTGACAATGGGTCCCCTTGTCTCAGTCTCTACTATGAAAAGAATAATTCTTTTTTTTTCCATTTAGAATTCTATTTAGCTGTATATTTTATTCTGAATAAGTGTTGACTTTCATCAAATTATTTTACTTCTCTTGAAATTATCATATGGTGTTTCTCTTTCAATTTGATAATGCAGTGAACTTCATTTATAAAGATTTAAAAGTAAAATTATCTTTGCCTATCCGAATACACCCAATTTGGATGTGGATGTAAATGTTTGTCCTTTTTTCTTTTCTTTGCCTTGGAAGATTGATAAGAATTTATTTTAAACTATCTTGGCTTAATGATTCTTTAACTGCTACAATTCTTAATAGTTATAGGACTAATGAAGCTTTTTATTTCTTTTTCACTGAGTTCTGATGTTATATTTTTTCCTAAGTATTTGTCTACGTTACTTAATTAGGGTTTGCCATAAAAAGAGAACCAATAAGGTGTGTGTGTGTTTGTGTGATAATTATGAAGGTTTGCAAGTCCTAATATTTGCAAAGAAAGACAGAAACCTAAAGACACAGGAAAGCTGATAGTGTAGTTACAGTCCAAACCTGAAGGCCTGAGAAACAGGAGTGCACATGCTGTAGGTCCTGTCTAAATGCTGGCAGACATGAGATCTAGAAAGACTTGATGTTTCAGTTCAAATCCAAAGGCAGGAAAAAGCTGATATTCCATTTTGAAAGCAATCAGGCAGGAGGAATTACTTTTTGGCTGGGGACATCAGCCTTTTTATTCGATTCAGGCCTTCAACTGATTGAATAAGGCCCACCCATTTGCTTTACTCAGTCTATTGATTTAAATGTTAATTTCATCCAGAAACATCCTTGTAGAAACAACCAGGATAATGTTTGACCAGATATCTGGGCACCTTATTGCCCAGTCAACTTGACATAAAAATAACTATCATGGTCACTTAAGTTTTTAATTAAATCACAATATTATTTATGGCATATTGTTTTATTTTATTGTAAGTTTATACTCTATATATGAGTGTCAGGGTTTTTAAAAATAATGTTATTTATTTTTGTCTTCTTTATCTCTTGATTATTTCTGCCTCATCTATTTTAATTTTTTCAAAGAACCAACTCATTGTTTTATCTTTACCATTGTATTTTTGTATGCTATTTTTATTAATTTTTATTCTTCTCTTTGCTTATTATGATAATGATAATTTTCTATTGCTAACTTCTTAGGATAGGTATTTACGCATTAATTTTAAAGTTTTCTTCTTTTCTTATGTAGGTACTTAAGGCCGTAAATATTCCATGGTACATAATGTTTGCTAACTTTCATAGTACAGGATATTATTCTTCATTATGATTTAATTATAAGTAGGTTAAAATTTTTGTCATTATTTCTTCTCTAGTACATCCATGGATTTTAAAATTACTGTGAAGGTTCTTAGAAAATATTTTTTGTTATTAAAGTTTAACCTAATTATATTTTGACCACAGATTGTGATCTGAAGAATACCTGTTCTTTGAAGTTTATTGAGGCTTTCTCTATGGCTTTGTACATAACCAATATTTGAATACGTGAATGAAAATAAGTATATTTTCCAATTGTTGCATAGAACTCTACATGTAGTCATTAAGTTCAGTGTTTTGGTTGTGTTTTCCAGATCTTCTATGTCCTTATTAGTTTTCTGTCTTATTGACTTGTCAATCAAGAGAGGTGTTTTGAATTTTCCTATTAAAGTAGAGGATTTATGTTTCTCTTTGTAGTTCCATTGCTTTTTTGCTTTGTATGTTTTAGAGCAATTTTATTAAATGTTTACATCTTTTAAATTGTTATATTTTGGTTACTGAGTTGAATCCTTTATTTTCTATTTGTGATCCTATCAATCTCTAATAAATTGTGTTTCTGCTTGTTTTAAATTAATTTTATTTCATATTAATATAGTAATCCCAGGTTTCCTTTGGTTATCATAGCATTTGATTGATATTAATTTTTCCATGCTTTTAGTTTCAACATTTTGTGTCTGTGGCGATTTAAAAATATGTACTGTTAAATCAGACTAAGTATGGGCTAAGAAAGATGTCGTACTTCTATATTTGAGTCCTTGTGGAACTGCAACCTAACTTAATAGCGAGACAGGATTGAAAACCTAACTTAGGAGTATGCACCTGTAACCATAGCTGAGTCTTGGACAATCCCAGCAGCCGTACTTCAACCACTCATACACTGATGAGTGTTCAAACTGTTTTCAAATAAGGCAAACACCTTATTTGCCTGTTACCAATTCAGTTGTAACCAATTCAGTTGTTTCTATTCCTCACTTCTGATTTCTGTTTGTTATTTACATTTTTTTTGTCTATAAATGTGTTCTGACCACGAGGCATCCCTGGAGTCTCTCTGAATCTGCTGTGATTCTGGGGGCTGCCAGATGAGTGAATTGTTCATTGCTCAATTAAACTCCTTTAAATTTAATTCAGCTAAAGTTTTTCTTCTAACAGTATCTTCAGATTCTAAGTGTTCTTTCTTCATGAGATGAAGCTTAATTTGTTTCCCCTTGACTATGGGCTGCTCTTAGTTACTCACTTCTAATGGATACAATTCCACAGGAATGCTGGTATGTCAACAAAATAATTCCTCTGGTCAAAGCTTCACTCTATGCTTTCCTGAGAGAAGCAGCCTCTTCTTAGTCTTGGCTATTTAAAAGAGAAAGAGGTCAGATTCATTGCCTGAGATTAGTTAGTTCAGTGC